ACATAATTTTTGCTGAATGATCAGCGTTAACGTTAACCAACGTGTAAAGATAGTAACCAAACTTTAATTAAAATATGCCACCGTGATTAGTAATCCAATTGTGTGGAAAGTTGTCTTTTTCTAAATTTTATATATAAAAATGTATTTAATTTCAAATAAAGTTGATTTTTCCATGCATGACTTCAGCTTAAAAGATATTGCTACATGCATATCCATCCACCAATAAGTAAACTTTGTGTGTTTATGATTATTTTTGGTAAAGGGTATTCAATTAAATTGCAAAGTGAAATTACATGGCTATATATGACTTTAAGGGTCATATAGTTTGAGAAAGTATCTAGAGAGTGTTGAGATTAAGCATACACTTAAACTAGTAAATTAGCTAGCTTTTGAGCACAATAAAAGCTCAAAAGATTGTCCAAGGAGCTAAAGAAAAATGAGCTCACTAGAGTTGCTTAGTTTAGTGATGAAGGTCTCCGCAACCACCAATGACCATTAATGCATTTCTTGTATCTTTTGAGTTGGTTTTATTAGTCTGAGATCATATGCATCGAAACACTCGTAGTAAAAACTCTGTTTCCATCGAAAAGACTCTCGTTGATCTTTCTCCTCGAATTCAGGTATTTTTCAATTCGATTCCGTTTATGGTGAATATACATATGGAAACCTGAGTAATGATTGATTAGTTAAATGGTTAAGTCTCCTTTTCTCGAATTTTGTATGTTGATTGATCAATCCATGTATGAGTTTAGATATATCGAGTTCGTTATAATCGCTTTTCGATTACGTTTATGGTGAATTTAAATATGGAAATATAGTCGGATTTGATTTGGGCAACTTTCTTTAGATTAGTGTGTATCAAGTTCAAGAATTCCATATCTTGGTTCAAGGCCCAAATCTTGTGTATAAAGAGACGAGAAGATTTTGCTTTTCCTTCTCTCTTATCTTTCTCCATGGGCGTGCACTCTAGCAACAGTTCCGGCATCGACATCAATGTAAGCTCTTCTTCTCTTTATGGCTTTCCCCTTAATTACTTAGTCGTCGTGAATTTCTGATGAGATCTTTGATGGGGTTGACGACTTTTGCGGATCGTATGGCTGCTATGAATGTCCTCACTGAGGAGAAATTAAGCCAGTACGTAAATTGATGCCTTTTTTTATGTGTAGATTTTTAATATAAAGATGTGTCCTTGTGTTGATCTCCTTTGCAAACTATGATGATTTCAGTTGTACTAGGGTTTCGGTTGAGGGTTACGACACATCCCTTCCTGTACATGCTATCACATCGGCATTGAGAGTCCACTTCATGTCATGTGGACAAGTCTGGAGTGTTGTGATCCCCAAAAACCCTATAAACTCCTGTGTCGTCGAGAGATGTGGTTTCATATATTTTGAAGAAGAAGAAGACGCGCAAGAGAAGGCGTTGGCACTTAATGGAAGTGAATGTAGTTGTTAAGGCTTTACCGAAAAAAGTCTAGTACTGAACAGGTGGACTCTGCTCGGAGACTCCTAGACACCCGGTAAAATTGTTGCTCTTTATTCCCGGAGATTTGTTATCTGTAATAACATGTCTTCTCAGTTTGTTTATGATATATACAATTTATTATTATTGCAGTCAAGAGGGCTTGTCCGTTACCGGATATGATATGACAGGTCGCGTCATGCGGATGATGTCAAGAGTGAATTGTTTAGACATTTCAGCTCCTGTGGAGAGATCATATATCTGACTGTCGACCAAGACCGTCGTCAACCCAAGGGTGTTCTCAGAAAGTGGGCTTTTATTTGTATAAACGGAGAAGACGCATTAGATAAGGCTCGCGCACTTAGTGGAACTGACTTGGGAGGATGGACCGTAACTGTTTGGACTTTACCGGAAGAATGTGGAAAGATGCCTGACAACTTGATCAACCTCCCTATCAAGTAAAGAAAAA